GATTGTGTTGCGATGGGTGGGGTGGGAGGTGCGTGGATGGGAGCGCTGAGGATGTCGGCTAATAACCGATATCAGTGGCAGTCACATGTGCGGAAGCTATTCCAGTGTCGAGTATTTTGGTGGCCATGCCGTGCATTGTTGATCAACATATACTTGCTGCCATGTTTCATTCCTCTTGCTGTTGGATTAAATTGTAATTGCTGCTTGTGATGCTGTAGTCTCCAAAACTTTCCAATAGGTAGAATGCATTAGTTTGGGCTAAATACACACATTCGAGAAGAAAAATGGGATTAGACCCAGTCCATGCGTACAAGGGCCAGACGAACACCAAAGTAATCGCTAGAAATCAGACCGTCCCATAGACAAGGCACTACAGATGCCACAAGACTTCTTTTTTGATAATAAGGGCAAAATACTCAGCTGAGCTCCTTTACTCTAGTAGAAAAATAAGAGCGCCAAATTTGACATAGCCCGAAGGAGTACGTACGCTAAAACAGCAGTTTATCTGCAAAAGCATCCATTAATTATGCCAGTATATTCGGCTTTCCTTCATTCGTAACGCTCGAATTCATTGTACTGCGCTGATGATTAAGCGAAAGTCGTGGGAATTGCGATGTGAAATTAAGCTCTTTGATGTGTCTTTCCCAAAATATGAGTCTAGGCCATATACTTTACGCAATAATATTTTTCGTTATGCTATCCCATATGAGAACTTTGACCTTGGACACAACATGGCACCTTTTAGACTGTCCCTTCTGGTCGTTTGGATGTTCGTCTCTTCGTGATGAACGCAGTCAGTCACTGTTGTATGAAGGCCAACTTTATTAAGGCCGCGAAGGTGAAGTTTTCGTTAGTTAGCTGAGTAGATTCAATAACACTTACGGAGATATTCTTCTAACGAATCTTTCTTTGCCCTTTTGGACTTACGCACTTAGCCACCCCATTGTGCGATAGGTCTTTTAACCAAGGTGGCGTGATGAGTTGCCTAAATTGGTTTGAATTCCACCTCTACATTGATTAAGAATTCAATAAAGCCGCTTTTCTACAACCGTTTTTCCTTGAGTCGTACTTATATTCAAACTTCACGTTTGTTTTGATTCGAGTGCAGCTATATGTTTAGGTCATTTGACTGTCGCTGATCTTAGATAATTCTTGCCTTCTGGTCGTTGTAGCAACTTTCTCCTTTATATTTAGCCTTGTTTTATTTTTCATAAATCTATTGTGAAATTAGCGTTTAAGTGTGTCCTTAGACTTCAAATCGTATTCTTTTATCCGGTTGCTTTTCTATGCCTTTAATTTGCTTGTGTCTGTTACTTTTTGAAATATAAGACGATGCATAGCCTTGATGAGGCACCTTTATATACGTATCTTTCATGTTATTTAAAGTTAAATATTTGAATAGCAGTTCAACATATTAGTTTATTTTGACGCATCGTTTATGGATGAAATTTTACAGTATTTTTATCTATAACTTTCCATCTAATTTATAAATCGTTAGTTCATTGACTGAGCCATGAATCTTGAAGGTGGTTGATGTTTGTTCGACCATTTGTTATAGGGCCTTATTTTCGATATCCAAACTGGAAATGTTGTTCTTCATTATCGTAAACGCTTTCTGCCTCTAACTCCTGTTTTGGTAGCGTTGCAGTAAAATCGCTTATTCAATTCATCTTTGTTTTGTAGGATAATTGGGTTCCTTGCGAGGTTCGCTTGTTGACAGATGATACGGACACCTTCTTATGCATAAAATCGCGCCCGTTGGGATTCGGACAAACTGAGGAGGATATAAAGAGCATCTTCTCAGGCGTCTCAGCCACTGGAACTATTTCAAGTGCAAACAATCCTACACAGCTTTCATCGGTGGCTCCTACTACTCGGGCTTTCACCGCGCTCTGTAACCTCTCCGAGTATAAGTCTTGCACGGTAGTGACAGTTTCCATAAATGATGTGGGTCACTTTGCTCTGAAGTTGGTCCCAGCGGGGATTTTCGGAAATAAGAGGCTTTACCTCGCAATGTCGGGTGAGACAGAGGCTACTGCATGGATGTCCATGATCAAAGCCAATCTGGGGAAAAGGAAGAAAGCAGCCAAAAATCTGCTGACGCAGTCGCGAGACTCCCTGGTGGGCACGCTACGTCAATCAGATAGTCAAGATACCCTTCGGGGTGACCTCAGCACAAATGTCAATAGTCGTTACGACCTTGATATCGATACGATTGACAATGAAGTTTATGAGCCTTGCTCTGCGCGTGAGTCAAACATTAATTGACTAGTTCCCATTCTGTTCTGGGGATTGGAGGTTTTAAGTGGTTATTGGGGATCGCTGGCGCATTGGCCGAAGATGGACATTAGCATAAACAAAATCATACTTAATTAGTCATTTGCGAACGGCATTAATTACTTCTTAGTCATTTTTTTTTAAATTGGATGCATCGTTGGATTAGTCCATGACAGAACGGGGTTTACTCCTAGTCACATTAGTGTTTAATTGCTCTTGGATCACCCTCCCTTAGTGTCGGCAAATGTCTACCCCGAATACCCACGTAGAGGTAACACCCATTGCAAACAGTGCCATCCGTGCAGCGGAAGTCTCTCAGTGAAGAGTAGTCAAGTTGCCTTGAAGTAGTACCTGTTACTATTGGACTAGGTCTATACTCAAAGCACTGTCGCTAATGTAGTTTTTTTGAAAAATTAAACAACTTATAAGGTGTATAAAAGTTAAATTTTGAGTATTTAATTTACTTTGTGTTTTACTAACTTATGTCTCAGTGACTGTAGAAATTGTTCTTCATCCTATTTAGTAGGTTTTCCGACATTTGGCAATAGTAATTGGGAATATTTCCAATGCACTACAGATGATATGCCAATTGCTTTTGACAGAGGACCTCATACCGGCAGTAATTCAACAGCGTGGAGATTGGGAAAAGCTACGCCTCTCGAAGATGGATTGCTTTCTTCGCCTCACTGATGACCGTCTGGAATTACTTGATCACAATGGCGAAAGGGTTCTTCATTGGTTCCCCTATCTGCTTATCCGACGGTAGGCTTTTGTTTGTTGCTTCACAGAACTATTGTTGCTAATGCTGCTTAAGTTAGGCGTAGAAGTTCAGCCCGTCCTATAAAAGTAGATCAAAAGGTGTCCAAAGGTGTCCAGACAACCATTTTCTCATTTTTCTTTCGAAACAGCTTTAATTTTTGTGCCCCGTTGATATCCTATTGCACCAACATTTGTTTGGCTTGCTTATGAACAGTATGGGTCAATGAAAATGAATGAGCAATACGAAACTAATGTTACGGAGTGGAGAAATGGTCTGCAATAATCTTGAGAAACCCTTTTTTATGGAATGGAACTTGGGCGAAGGGTGACATTATTGGTTTGGAAGGCACGTCTATATCTTCGTAGAGTTCACCCTGTAGAAATTACCTGTGCGAAAAATTTGCCATAAACATCAATGACTTTTTGCAATGGCAAAATTACTAAGTTGCTTTTCTCATACATTA